CCCTCCCTCTACGGACAGAGAACAGAGGCGCGTTGGGTCGGGAGGGCGTTGGGGGCGGGTGGCTGCGTTTTTAATCATCGCTTGCAGAGGGTAGGCAAGGTCGCTACGCCCGATCCGACCCATCCCGCCCCAACACGCCACGCCACGCCCCGCCACCTCCGATGCTAGCGGCGAATTGGTCGACCCGACCATCGCCGATCACTTTTATCTGACTCGGGGGAAGCGGGACAACGGCAGAGCGGGGGCTTCCAATAACTCGCCCTGCTGTGCGCGCCGGCGGTATTGTGTTGTACCGGCACACGGGCCACACGTGTCCGCAACACATCTCCTCCTCCGGCATAGACCGAAGCACGCGCCGGCCGCTTAATAAAATACAGTAACATGGAAGTTTATTTCGTTCTTCTCTTGCTCACCTCTCTGCATTGTCAGGTATTCGTCATAGCCCCCCCTCCTCCTCCTCTGCTTTCCTTTCTCTTATTTGCGCGATGTCGCATTTTCTTCTCAGAGTAAAGCTGAGTAGAAGGAGGGCTGCATCTCACCGAGGTGTTTCGGTGCACGCGCCTATGCGGACGAGGTTTCCCCATTCGCGTTCGCGGCACTATGGATCGTCGAGAAAGTACGTCCGTTTTTCCGGATTTCATTCTCCTAATTACGGGACCTTGGCGCCTGTGATACTCGGGGTAGGCCAACCCGCAATACACACATGTACTGGAAGGAAGATTTTGCCTACCTATCAGGCGCTATGAGGACTTGCACAAGCTGAACTAGGCAATTTGGTAACAGCGAATGGCGGACGTACTTTCTGGCGTGCCCTAAGCGTGGATACATGGAAATATAGAATTTTGTGGCAGGTCAAAATTCGCGGCAAACCATGATCAGTTTACTCCTGGAAGGTCAGCTAGCCGGCTATCGGGTCACGGTGGGGCCCTCCTTGGTGTTGCAGGCGTCCAGGTTTTGCCGCGGGCTGGAGTTGCTGGAATTGACGCAGTGCCGCGGCAGCCAGAGCTTCCGCCAGCTGGCGTACCTGCCCCTGGTCAAGGTGGCGCAGAACTGCCGTAGCCTGCGCCGCGTGTACTTTTGGGAGACGGACTTCATGTGCAGCAGAGTGTTCAAGGTACTGTAACGCTGTACCAAAAGTACAAAAAAAATTTAAAAGAGGCAAAATAATCTAGGAAAATCAAGTAAAAGAAAAAAATCGGTGTAGTGTACACTCTTGAAAGCTCTTGAATTAATAGTGAAAAAAACAAAACTGACGCCTTTCTCTACAGGTGTGGGCCGACCTGCGCGGCCCTGACGACCCCGTCCTCGAGATCGGCGTCAACAGCCTGACGCGGCGGCAGGCCAACTACATGACGAGCGTGCTGGGCGGGCCGGCCGAGCTGCACATGCACGCCCTGCAGGCCACGCCCTTCGTGCTGCACGTGCACGGCCACGCGCTCAGCCTGGCCGAGGACCTGAACAGCGAGGAGGCGCTGCTGGCCGCGCCGTCCACGTCGGCGGCCGTCCCTGCCGGCGGCGCGCCCAGCTCGGCCAGGGTGCGGGCCGCGCCGTCGTCCTCGTCCACGGGTGGCGAGGGCACCCCGAAGCGGGCGCGCCTGGACGAGGACCCCGTCGCCGTCACGACCGTCTACATGCGGCAGCCGCCGTCGCCCCAGAGCAGCGCGTCGACGAGCACGGGCGAGCAGGGCGCCCTACGGTCGCACGCGCGCCGGCTGTACGCCTTCGACCACGTCAACGTCGGCGGCGACGACTCTTCGGGCGACAGCGACACGGACAACATGGACGTGGTGGTGGCGTCGCCGCCGATGAGCGTCGAGCCCCCGGATCACGCGGACGAAGAGGCCGACGACGATGCCGAAAACATCGTGATCGCCCCCAGCCGGTCGAGGCCCGCCGGCAGGCTGGAGTACAAGTCGGTGTTCGGCATGGGCTGCACCAGCGAGCCCCTCGTGAACTCGTGGTTTCGCTCGGGCTACATGCCGGACTGCGACGACCAGGACCACAGAGAACCGGAGCAGGTCGGTCCAGGTCTGCATGGCCACGCCAGACATTGATAAATGTTCATTCTGGCGCTTCCTATCCACGAGCCTAACAGCCCGGCCCGGGCGCGTCGCTTCCATGCAGAGCCAGTCAGGCCTCGGGGCGTTGAGGACGGCGCTGCTCCCGCTGCCGAGGGGCGACAACGACGGCAGCGAGGACGATTCTGAGGACGAGCGGACGGTGACGGTGACGCTCGAGGTGGCGGCTGTCGCGGGGGAGGCCGACGCGATGCTGGGCGAGCGGCTGCTACCCCCGGCGGCGGCGCGGCTCGCCGACAGCCTCAAGGAGCCCGCCGACCCGCAGCCGGGCGGCGACCTCCAGCCCGACCCGGTGGCCAAGAGGGCGCCGCCGGTGGTGACCCCGCCACACGGACAGCACAGCCCGATCGACGGCGACCACGCCCATGACGACGCCCCGAAGCGGGCCGACCCCAATGACGCCCAGTGACGCGCACCAGCAGTGTGCACCCCGACGAGATGTTGTTGCTATCGACATTAAAAGCACTTACCACCCAGCGCATCGCCCAGACACCGCGGGGGGCGCGTGGGGTCGCGGGGCGGGGCCGTGTCGGCGCGGACAGTCCGCCGAGGGCCTCCGGGCCATCACGCCCCGCGACAACGGGCCATCAATGGCGCACATGATGACCGGGCGCGGCCCACATGTAACGACGCCCCTCGTGTCCCCGAGGCCCCCGCGCCCCACTCCCCGCACATCCTTTCCGCACCCCGCCGCAGCCTACCACGGCGGATGGGGTGATCAGACCGGCTGCCAACCGACCGGTCGGTGGTGCTCCTTTACCCTGACCCCCGGACCCGGACCCGGACCCGGGGGGCCGGGGGTGCAGCGAAGCGAAAGAGTGGGTGAGGGGTGCAAGTCCACACTGTACATCCCTGGGGTGTCCAGCAGGCAGGGATGGTGGTCAATTAAGATCATTCCTCTTTATTACTTACTCATGAATGGCAAAGTCCAAAAAGGTGTGACAATACCGGGCGTAACTGTGAATACGCAGCAGCGTTGAGGGTTTGGCGACTCTCTACACCCGTAAGGGGCTATGGCCCCTGCGATCATATTGAGTATGTAATTCCGCAACACTGCTGCGTACAGTTACACCGGGTGCACAGAAAACGTGTAGCATGAGGTGAGGTGCTCAAATTTGAATTCCAGCCACAACTTTCTTTAAACTTTGTCATTGTTTTACACTTTTTCCACGTACCGCGACGAGGACTACTTGGCATGCTAGGGGCATGGCGTTGCAGTGCTGGGCGCGCACCGCGTTGCAGGCGGCGATGAGTCGAGTTTGGAGCAGGACGGACAAGCCCAGCTCCCCAATCGGTTGGCCCTCATACATACGATTTGCATGTCGCTGCGAGAGGTCGCCGGGGGTCCGGCCGCGCGGGTCGAGTCGGGTCAGTCGGGGGTGCCCTCCATGCTGGCGGAGCGCAGCCTTTCCCTAACCGAACTGTCCGGGGCGGAGCCAGACCGTCGGGGTGCAAAAGAGACCACAGCCGACCGTGGGGGTAATAAAGTCCCGCTGTCCAGCGAGTAAAAGGGGCCGGGGCGGGGGAAGGAGGTGGGAGCTCCTGACTGAGCCCATCAGTTAGCCCGGCCAGCCGGCCGCCGCCCGCCGCCGTCCGTCCGCTGCAGGGCTACTCCCCGCCCCCACTCTACCCCTGACCTGTCCGCGACCGGGTCGAGAGGAGAGGAGAGAGAGGGAGGTCATCCCTTTCACGGAGATTAGACGTCCACTCGCGGAGTCGAACGGCGAGACGGCAACGGCGGGGCAATTGGCGTGCGCCAAGAAGTCAGGCCGCGCTTCACCCCGCCCC